ATTTGTATACATAATTTGGTGGTTCTGAGTTAATCAAGATTTGCCTCTACCAGACCAGACCAACTTTCTGCAGATCATGTGCAGCTTAAGGGGGGAAAGACTGTTTGTGTACTGCAGTTTATCAGGAATGACGCAACTTAGAATCAGTTTTATGTGTGCATGCAGGATCACTGTGAAATAGTGATGGTCAGATGGTGTATGTGATGTGGATATGTGAGAGAATCATCCCAAGAGGAAATAAAAACAGAAACTGTAGAAAAGGACTTGGGTTCAAACACTTTCCACGCAATGCAGCAGGATGGCTGAGTTCTTAATTTCATTTTAATTAGAAAGGAGATTTCTGTTAAGCAACTTCCCTACTGCTGATGGGCATAGTGCCCGAAGAGAAGAGCTTTGCCGATAAGACAGCACACAAATTGGTTTCGAACACCCTGTGAAATATTTATAAACCTTTTGTAAGAAGTTCTGTGCTTTCATTACAAAATAGATTAGGTGGTGGCTTTTAAATATCTTCAGATTTGTTTTTCCACACTTGTTATGAACACTTTGCTTCATCCTTCCCATAAAAACTAGCAAATATGTAGGAAGGGTAGTGGGAGCTTGTCTTCAAATAATTGTAGAGTTGGAAGGGTCATCTAGTCCATCCCCCTGTCATGCAGGAATCTCAAGCATCAATTATCAATGGTCATCCAACCTCTGCTTAAAACCCTCCAAGGAAGGAGAGCCCACCACCTCTCATGGAAGTCTGTTCCACTGTCAAACAGCTCTTACCATCAGACCATGCAGGAGAAAATAAGCTTGCTCCACATCTCCATCTAAGGGAATGTGACATCCCTTTAGATATTTGAAGATGGCTATCATATCCCCTCTAAGTCTCCTCTTTTCCAGGCTAAACATAGCCAACTCCCACAACCGTTTCTCATTAGGCTTGGTTTCCAGATGTCTGCACACACTCCAGCTTGTCAATATCCTTCTGTAATATGATTTGTATTAAATATGTTGTTTGTGCCACGTTTATTTGGCTTTTCAGGATAGCAATCTCACAAGTGACTTTTCCATAAGCACACAAATAGGATTGACTGTTATGAGGATAAGTACCTCTTAGCTCCTTCTAACTATGTGTTTTGTCTTGTTCTCTTGCCCTGACCCAGGTCATGCTTTCTTATGGTGCTAGGTACGGCAAGGATTTTGTCTTTTGCCAGCCAGGCACAGTGGAATTAAAAAGAGATTATGGATGAATTTGTCTGTGAGATTTGTACAGCTGTTTAACTCTTAAGAAATCCCAAAATAAACTAGGCTGTTGGAGAGAAAGGTAATCGCCATCTTAAGGCATTAGCTCAAATTTGTTTGGTGCTTTCAGATTTAACCGCTGTTCAGTTATTCACTTATAAATTCTACCTGTATTGATGGAACTTGAGTCACTTTGTTGTTTCTTGTTTCTGCATTTCCCCCTCCCCTCCCCGTGGGTGGCCAGGAATATTTGCATGTGAGTATTTGCTCATAAGTCCCACTGTAGGATGGAATTTGTAGTCCTCAGGTTATATGCACAGTGAGACACTGTGTATGCATGTTTGCTGTGTCAAAGTGTTTGTAGCCATTTAGTTGTATGAACACCAATAGATGTTAGGGATCAAACTGGGCTGTTTGGCATTGGTGGAAAAAGTCCGTTTTGTGAGATAGACAGATTTGGCAATGTTAAATGAGATGAGTTGGCGGAAACAGGATTTTGAGAATCCAAAATTAATGTTACAACAGCATGTAAACTCTAATGAAATGCAAAGCTGTGAGAGAGAGATGAAATAACCTGGTTCAGCTTTAGAACTGGTTTTGTGGACTTGGATTTTTCACCTGGAAGTCTATTAGAAATCTCTGCTTCCTAGAATCTATATATGGAAGCCAGTGGTAGAGGTTTCTCTGGCACAAAAACCACACCTTTGCCATATGTAGAAATCTGTTACATCTACTGTGGAAATGTCCCATCATTTCAACACCAACATGTCTTTATATAGCATGACATTTTATTTTATTGGCATTCTACATAAGCAGTGTTGACAAGAGTTTGGGATGGGGTCATGGTGCATCTGAGGAAGAAAAAATAAATAAAACAAAGGCCAACAGAGGGTTTTGGCATTTTTGTCTTCTTAGTGACCTGAGTACCCTAGCCACATTTCCCAGCAAGTTAATTGTACTGTATTGACAGCTTTTTGATCTGAAGATACTTGCTCTATTGATGTCAGTGGCCTCTCCTTTTCTCCTGAGAAAGCTGACTGTACCTGTTCCCTGTAATTAATATGCTACTCCTTATTGAGTTGTTCTTCATTAGATTGGCTGCCCATTCTCATTCAGTAGCCATGGAAGAAATAATATTAAAGTTGTTTATTCAGTCAAAATATACAGCATGTCCAGAAACCTGGAACAAGCCCCAAATACTTACTATGAGTCTTCCAAAACCAATGCATTTAAATAGCATTCTTAACAACAGTATAGTAATTCAGAGCCATTAAACCTCAGGTTGCCCTGCTCTGGGTAAACTGGGACCTCAGGCTTATGAATGGTCAAACTCCCTGAGGAGCACATTGGAATTTTTTTGATACATTATGCATTGTATTAGTTTAGCAATGGCAAGATGACATTTCCCTAAAGGTTGTAAGAAAAATGCATGGATGAATTAGAGTTACAAATCAAAAGCCAAAGTTGGTGAAACTACACCAGGGTTCTGTGTCCGACAAGAAAAAAAATGAAAATAAATAAGATATACAGTATAACCATGGAAATCTTAAATTTATTGCTAGGCAGTAACAACAGAGCTTGTACACATTGAACCAAATGCCTTGGAGATGTTGAAAGGATGTGGATAATCAAATGTTTGGGTAAACAGAAGTTCTGTTTATAAAACATGGTACCCGCACATTCTTATGTGACGGAAAGCCTTGGCTAGCTCCAGGCAGTGAGACCACGGAGATTCTGTTGAAATTATAAAACACGGAAAAATTTATATTTAATGTATCTAAAAGCAGCCGACTGCTCACTGTCTTCTTGGTCTTTCTGACTTGAAGAAGGACAGTTATTTTGTTACCCATATATTAGCATTCTGGCTTATTTCTAGAATATGGATTAAGGATGCTTTCTTGCATTGCCTTTGTGGTGTGGGAGCTGCTGCAGTGGACTGGAGTCCTTGCTTCACTTGGGTAACAAGAAGACTGTTCTCATGCCTATGCTGACGCTGAGGTTCCTCACAATTTCTGTGTTGTCCCCATCAAACCCAGGGTGATACTGGTGTAGAGAGGAACTGCAGTGCCAGAGTTCCTCTTGGAGCTTCTGGGGTTACCTGAGTGATGCATGAAGGAACTCCTGAGCCTTGACAATACTGTTGACAGCAGCAGAGAGGCAAAACATGGTACATCTGAGGAGGAGGAGGAGGAGGAGGGGGAGGAGAAGAAGAAGAAGAAGAAGAACTTTTGACTTGTCAGTAGCTGTCAAAGGTAGATAGGAATCTTTTAGATGTGCATCATGGAGAGCAAGTGTGTTGATTATGTGATATGTTGTAAGTAGGCTTTGTGTGAGGATTTGGCAGTGTGTCCAGATAAGATTTTAAATGCAGGTGCTGTGTTCAGGACTTGAAATCCAAGTGGGAGAAAATTGAATTCATAAATCAAAGCCCAAGCTACCTTGTAAAACAATATCAAGCAGTTGCTTGAGTAAACAATTTTCTCAGCTCACAGAAAGAAGAAGAAAAAAGAACTTAAGAAGTGTACATGTTAGAAATCTTGGGGCTAAACTGTGTGCAGCATGGGTGATCCATGATTGGATTTCCTGATGTCATTCTTTTGAGGGGAGAGGCTTAAAAAGAGCCATAGGAACCTGTTTGGATCAGGGCTACTATAGTGCTGGTCAAAGTAACTTAACTTTAACTCTTTCCATTCATGCTGCGGTTTTGATCCAAACTGTAACTTTTCCAACCCTCCTCCACTGAAATTAGCTGTGGATAGCAGAACATATTTGCATTCTGTAGCTAATACCCCTTTTTTGGGGGGGGGGTAATTTTAGTTGGAGAAAGCATTCATGCATCTTTTGCTTTACCCAAAAGATACATGGAAGGGGTGTGCAAAATACAGCTGGCCTGCAGAAGCCATTTTTACTTGCACATGACAACATGTTTATGTGCCAGATAGACATCTCTGTGCACCCTCCCTAAACAAAATAGATTGTTTCCCGCCTATTTATTCTGTTCCTGCTTGATAGTGAAATTCTGTGGTGCTGATGTGGAATGATAGGAAGAAAGGCTGTGGTCTCAGATTTCCCTTTTAGTTTGGGGCTTTCTGTTCTTCCCCAGATGTTCTGGTAAGTTGGCAATTTCCAGGACTCACAACCCAGTGAGCTACCAGTAAGCTACTGGGCCAAATTCAAGGTCCTGTTACTAGCATATAAAGCCCTAAATAGCTTGTGACCCGAGTACCTAAGACAGTAGTTCACCTCGATACCAACAATCTCAGACCCTACGATTGCCAGGTGAGGTCTTGATGGTGGTTCCAGGGGCTGCCTGGTTGACATTGACTTGTGACAGATCATTTTCAGTAGTTCTTCTCTGGTGGTAGAATGTCCTTTCTAGTGAGTTGTGCCTGTCTTCATCACCATTTACTTTCAGGAGGAATTCGAAAACCTTTCTGTTTACTCAGGCATCTGATGGTTGAATAATACTCTTCCTTGCAACCCCAAGATTATTGGATGGAATAAAGTTTTTAACTGTAACTGCTTTTAGATGTTTTAAATTGTACTTGTTTTTAGGCTATTTTAACTGTTTTATAATGTTTTTGCTTTGCTTTTTAATTTGTGTGTCTGTTTACTGTCCTTGGCTCCATGGGAAGAGCTTGATATAAGTGCAATCAATCAATCAGTCAATCAATCCCCACCTTATCTAAGTTGATATGGTCATGTCACTGGAGTACTTTTGAGGCTCAGAACTTCTGATTCTGCTGTGCTTAGAGCCTGAAGTAGATCCAGTGCTTAGGTTCCATCTCTCTCTCTCTCTCTCTCTCTCTCTCTCTCTCTCTCTCTCCCCCCTGTCTCTCTCTCTCTGACACACCCACACAAAGAGAGAGAGAGAGAGAGAGAGAGAGAGAGAGAGAGAATGGCAAGTTTCAAATCTCGCCAGAAATTCAGCTTTCTTTGTACAGAGTATTGGAGAGTCCTCTTGTTGTTACAAAGTTCATTAAAAGACAAGCAAACAAGGAGACCCCTTATTAGCTTTTCATTGCTTGGTCTGCAGGGTTGGTGCGCTGTCTACATAAATGCTGCTTCTGAGCCACAGTAGTGTAATGATTTTTTAAAAATTCACTTTAAAGGTTTTGCGCAACTTCTAATCCTTAAAAAAAATCCTTTGCTTTCTCACACAGGAACTACCTCTTCAGACTCAGTCTCCACAACGTTTCTCTTATTCAGGTATGTTCACGTTTCCCATCCAATGCTTGTTCTGACTACATAATTAACAGGCTACACAAATAGTCTTTTTTAATAATAATAATAAATAAATGGTGCTAATTTGTTCTTGAAGTAATAGTGGAACTGGATTGGTCTAGAGATCAAGACATCAAATAAGGCTTTCAAGGTCACATGGGCCCCCAGGTCCTTATGTTGTTGCTTTGCTTTGAGATGCATTTCCATGTGGTGCTCACACCCCTTTTGCATATTCTTCTCACTCAGAATATAATGCTGGGGCATGGGGATGGTGATTCTGCACTTTGTTTTTTTAGCTCAGCTCTTTCACCCTTTGCGTGTTGTTGAGCGAAGGAGGAATGGACAGGTGCCAGGAATGGGCATCGCATTAGAAGCAAAGTGGGTCTTGTGACAGATCGCCAGTGCAAGCTTAACTAAAACAATTGTAAAGAAATCCTTAGCCTTCATGAATGCCGACGTCAGCAGCTATCAGAGAAGCTTTTTACTATTCTCTTCCATCACTATTCCTGAGCTTTTGTTGGCCCTGTATGAGCAGAAAATGCTGAGGAGCTGGATTTTGTTGAATTCCTTAGTAGCAACACGTTAAGATGATAAGAATTTCAGAGGGAAGTGCTGTTTGCAAATAGGTGTCCTCTTCATCCTGATGGCAGCAACCTCACCGAAGGATCCTAAGCGTAGCAAGGGATTCAGTCATTATTTAAAACCACTTTAGCTGTATCACTGAAATTGCTCTCAAGTTCAATTGTAGCATGGGGTTTTAATAACATCAGTACTGCAGGCGGGTAAATATTACAGTTGGATCAGGCTCCTATTTAGTCTTGTTTCACATTGTTATGATCATGAAGTCATATGTGTACATGGCATTCTTCTAACGGATAAACTCGGTTCATGTTCTTTAAATATGTGGTCAAGGACTTCACTCCCACAATTGATTTTGGGAAGTAGCGGTTTTCAAAGAACAGCACAAAAGCAGTTTCAGAATTTGGGCATAAGTTCTGAAAAGAGAATAGTTCCAGTTTGTCCTCTGTTGCTCAGATTCAGCCTTCTCCAACCTTGGCTGCACATTAGCTGTTGTACTGCAACCCCTTTTACCATTGCTGGACATTGCCTGTTCTGGCTCAGGAGGATAGGGGTTATAATTAATGCAAAGGAGCCAATCCATGACTGGAAACTGGGTAACTGCATATATTCAAACAAAGCTTGGAAATAAAGAGGAAATGGGGACCAGGACCTCTGGAATACCCTTGGCACCTGCATGTTTTTTTAACAGATGGTTTAAAATGTACTTATTCTGGTCTGCATTTGGATAATTTATAATTCTATGCTATGTTTTTATTGTACATGTAAGCTATCTTGTGAGGTTACATACCCTGAAAAATAGGGTAAAAAATATAAGACAGAATGAAACAGAGCATCAGAATGCACCCCTTCAAAGGCTAGCCGACAGAGCCTGTCAGAGCACTGATTCCTTAGGCTTGGTGGACTAAGTGCCTCTGCTTCCTGTGACTTAACTTGAGCATTATATCTATTCCATAGAGTTACCTGGAGAAGTGATGTTCCAGGTTACAGTTGTTGGCAGATACTTTATAGTAATTTGCGCTCAATTAATAGGGTGCACTCTGATACTTGCTACCCATTTATTTTTCTTCTGAAATTCATGCCAATGCTCTGTTTGCATTGCTTCAGGATAGTTGTAGAAATTGAAAACCTTCCCCGCTTTCTTTTTGTCTCCTGCCTGTTATGTTATTCTTTCTGGGAAAGCACACTGGGTCCATTAATGCCAGTTAACAGCTTTCTGCTACACAGTCTGGATCTGTTTAGAAACAGGAGTGTACAGTATATGCTGTGTGATAACAAAAGCAAATGTTGTAGAAAAGCTTTTCATGAAGGTGGTAAAACGCAGGCTAGGATACAGGGGGAAATCTAGCTACTTGGCGATTAGCGCAGTTTGAAACAACTTTTCAGGCCACCTCTGGTGGCTTTTTATTTACTTAATGGCAAGTCCTCCCATCAAATCACACAGGCATGAAATTTGTATTAGTGGGAAGGATTTATACTTATGTTTGATTAGTGATTAGACACAGTTAGTCTCCCTCTCCAGATCACATTTGACAACGCCAGAGTGCCTTGTAGACATGCTCCCATAAAGACTGAGACTGCATCACAAGTGTCTCTACCTTCCTTTTCAACCAGAGGAAAACGTTGAGTAATTGTCATTTTCTATCTGTAGGCCTTCTTCCCAGAAGTGTAGAGACTTCTCCTCTTAGAAATGGGGGTGAGGAACCCTTTTCAGCCCATGGGCCACATTGCCCTTTGTGGGCTACATGCCAGTGGTGGGCGGGATCAAAAGCAAAAGTGGGTGGAGCAGCAAATGCAAATTTCACCTTGGCGCAGTAAGCTAGTTTCTACACGCACACACACACACACACACCCTCTATCCTCCATCCAGGCAACCTAGATGCATTATTAGGGTTCAGTGACGTATATGAGTGTGGCAGAAACACTTCAGAAGGGTGTGAGGCAGGGCTGGAGAGAGCGATGCTGGGTGAGGAGTGTCCCAAAGGCCAGATAGAATGAGGTAACTGTGCCCCTGAAGGACCAGGTGCGCAGCCTGGGAGTCATTTTGGACTCACAGCTGTCCATGGAGGCGCAGGTCAATTCTGTGTCCAGGGCAGCTGTCTTCAGCTCCATCTGGTACTCAGGCTGAGACCCTACCTGCCTGCGGACTGTCTCGCCAGAGTGGTGCGTGCTCTAGTTATCTCCCTCTTGGACTACTGCAACACGCTCTATGTGGGGCTACCTTTGAAGGTGACCCGGAAACTGCAATTAATCCAGAATGCGGCAGCTAGACGGGTGACTGGGAGTGGCCCCCGGGACCACATAACACCGGTCCTGAGAGATCTGCATTGGCTCCCAGTACGTTTCCGAGCGCAATTCAAAGTGTTGGTGCTGAGCTTTAAAGCCCTAAACGGCCTCGGTCCTGTATACCTGAAGGAGCGTCTCCACCCCCATCATTCTGCCCAGAAACTGAGATCCAACGCCGAGGGCCTTCTGGCGGTTCCCTCATTGTGAGAAATTAGGTTACAGGGAACCAGACAGAGGGCCTTCTCGGTAATGGCGCCTGCCCTGTGGAACACCCTCCCAGCAAATGTCAAGGCAATAAGCAACTATTTTACTTTTAAAAGACAACTGAAGGCGGCCCTGTTAAGGGAAGTTTTTAATGTTTGATGCTGTATTGTTTTTAACACTTGATTGGAAAGCCGCCCAGAGTGGCTGGGGAAACTCAGCCAGATGGGCGGGGTATAAATTAATAATAATAATAATAATAATAATAATAATAATTTAGAGAGGCTTGGAGGAGGGCCCCTTTGGCCCCCAGGCCTGAGTTTTCCCACCCCTGTCTTACAACTAGAACCATTCCGATATCAAGGAATCACGAACACAATATTCACTGATAACACCTATGATTTAGCATCCATTTCACATGTCTGTTTAAGATATTTAAATTAACAATTGTAGTGTATTGGAATAGTGCCAAGACCTAGGGGGAAAGTATTAAAAGATAGTTGACAGAAATGGATCTGTTGGACTATACAGCCTTCCGTAATAAACAGTTAGCCATTTAGCCCAAAGCATCCAATTAAGTCTAATTACATTTAATGTAAATATACCTTTAAATTACAGTTTGACCCACAAAGATTGCATTGTTCTGCTAAAACGCTCCCGCTTTGCTTTCTTTTGGCACATTGTGCCTCATTTCAGGATTCGTTCACTGTTTGCCAAGATCTGATATATTTCCTGGTGTGTGTGGTTTTTTTCCTGAAGAACAATAAATTTAAGACGAATTTTAAATATTTTTACGTATGCAGCTGTCAAAGGAGTATTTCGAGAAACATTTGTTAGCTGCCAGAAATGGAGTAAAAGCTAGGGCTGAGTGATACAGGTGTCAGGACTGGTCGTTGTCCTCTTCAGTTCACCACACAAACGCTTCTTGTTCTTTTATAAAACTTTTTATTGCGTATTAACAAAACATTCTTACAAACGGTTCTCAACTATTATTCCTCAGAGTCACTTATTTCAGATACCTTCTGAGCTCTGCTTCTCCATGACCAGCCACTCTCAAAATGGCGAAGGCGCCCTTCCCTTCGCTTTCCCGCTCTTTTTTCTAACCTCCTGGCTAGAGCTGGCTTGTATCTTCCCTCCTCCGAATCTGAGCTAGAACTTAACCCTTGCCTTTCCTGTGAACAGCCAGTCCCTCCCTGTTGTTCCTCTTGCTCTCTTCTGTTAGATTCACTGCTCTCCTTCCCCCCTTGGCGAATGCTTTCTCCCTCTGAGAAACTGGAAACTTCTAACTCTTCCCTGACAGCAGGGTTGTTTTTCCCCCAGTTGTACTTTTTCTTTTAATCAGAAAATGAACATTTTCTCCCATTTTGCATATAGCGGTCATTTATCACACTTACTGTATTCATCGTCATCCCCCATCCACAAGAAGAAAAGATTATCATACCCTTGAACCAAAGAAACAATGTTGTTTGGCTCGTAATGTTAATATTTTCTTCTGAACACCAGTTAGGATTGAGGATGCTGTCGACATTTCCATTGCTTTAGTTAAAAATTTTGTGATGTGGATGTTAACCTTTTACATAAAGTGCAACTAAACAACATCTTGGAAAGCAATTCAGCCTA